TAAATAAAAAGTAATTAAAATTATTCTACATATAATAAATAAAAAAATAGTTAAATAATAAAAAAATATTAAAACTACAAAAAAAAAAGTACTGCTGTCACGAATCCGGTCTATGGACTTCCATTTAATCTCCACCAGAGGTCACCCTTCCATTACATTGACTCTCGCACTACACAAACTGTTGCATGTCATCCCGGACTACATATCCCATCATCCATTGCACTGATTGCACACAGCACTGATTACACACAGCTGTAACCAATCACACATTCACTATATAACACTCACTCAGATCCCTTTCAAACTGCCGAGTATTGTATGCGCACATCGCTAGTTGTGATAGCTACGTTACAGAGCCTACTTGAAGTTTCATAGTCTAGCCTAGCCTAGCCTAGTCTTGCCTTGTCGGTTTCCTCGTCTTCTGATCATTGCCTGTGTACTTTGGATTACCTCTCTCGTCTTGCCCTGTTCGGATACTGTTTGCACCTGCCTGGACCTTTGCTTTGTACCTGGATTATCCCTCTAGTCTCGCCCTGTTTGATTACATTCGTCATTGACTGACCCTCGCTTGTTTACCGGACTATCCTTGCCTTGTCTTCTACATACCAGTTTGCCTATGTCTGACCTATGCCTGTTTATGACCACGTCTTAATAAAAGCTTTGCACATGGATCCGCACGTCTCATGTTCTGGTTACTCCGTAACAACTGCCAAACGCAAAAAAGAACCAAAAACAGCAAACACCTTCTGTGTTTAAAAGAAAGAAAGAAAGTCATACAAGTAAATGGCCTAAATAGCATAGGCTAAAGGAAAAAAAGAGTATAGAATATTCATTTTAAAATAAAAAAGTAATAGGATAACAATTAAAGCATATTAAATTATTACTGCCAAACGCAAAAAGGACCAAATATCTCTTTTTGTGAAAGAAAGAAAGAAAGGTAAATGGCATACATTGATTGTCTTAAAGAAAAACAAGTTTTTAAAATGTAAAGAATAATTAGAAATTAAAAATATAATGATAAACAAAAATAAAATAACAAAACAGAACCCCAAGATGTTTTTGTTTTGGACAGTTAAACCACACTTTAAAAAAAAAAAAGCTTTTCTCAGAATAATCAGTTTTTACAAACCAATCATAAGACATTTATAGCACAATATATGTGTAATAACGATCTATGAAGTTATATTACAATGTAAAGACACTCGCTTTGCCATTAAACACTTACAGGATAAAGAGGAGAAGGTGTATGTGCAGAAGAGGGTAAGGAGTCACCTCTCCCAAACCCCAGGGCGTCAACACTGAAGCTAAACTGGCTCCTGCCTCGACCTCTGCTGCCTGCCATGACCGCACCTGTACAATCATCACGTGTCAGAGACTATATCACTAGCCATTAGCCACAATAACATTCACAGCCAGATCCACACAGGCTGGCCTTATTTAAAGCATTTAGATTAGTCACTAAACAGCTTACCTCAAAATGTGTCTCGGGTTCAATGGATCGCATTCATGGAGTTGTCCTTCCAAAACAGCCTCTTATGAGCCCAATAAACATGCGCGCAGATCACAGCCGCCTGCTGAGTGTGAGGCCATGTGTAAGGCACCGGCACTTGAACACGTGGTAGCTGTGTTTACATCCGGCACATGTGCACGTGTCTTCCGCCTCAGTTTACAGACCAGACAGACACACTGCTCGCTACGAAGTTCCTAGTATTACACATTATTGCTACTACATTGTATTAGTATTGCATTGCTACTACGAGTGTTATTAAGAGGTTATTAACAATTGTGAATAGGATTAAAAAATAAGATTGACCTTAATGATGCTGTAAACTTTTTTGGATGCAGCATATCAAATATCCCTACCTGAGACATATCACTGAAATAAGTGTTGATGGGAAATATCGAGTATATCTGTTACAGTGCGAGACTCCTTTCGTGTGTTTCAAAGCCTGCGCGTCTTCGGAGGGCGGGGTTTGTGCCGGGGGCGTGGTCTAGCTTAGTAGTCGAGACATATATAGATATACGATGCTGAATATCAAATGTCAGAATATATATATAACAGTTTAAAGGTGTTGTCACAGGGTACATTTTACCCAAGTGCTCAACACTGGTCAGGATGCACCAATCAGATTACAATAGAAGACTATTATAAAAGTTAAAAGATTCCCTTAATCGTTTTTATAGAGATTGTGCGGATTTTCATCAGTAAGGCAAGCACTAATCCTGAAACACTTAAAGGGATAGTTCACCCAAAAATGAAAATTTACTCATCATTTACTCACCCTCAAGTAGTTCCAAACCCGTATACATTTCTTTGTTCTGCCGAACAGAAAGGGAGATATTTTGAAGAAAGTTTGTAACCAGGCTGTTTTGGGGCACCATTGACTTCCATAGTAGGAGAAAAAAATACTACGGAAGTCAATGGTGCCCCAGAACTGCTCTGTTTCCCACATTCTTCAGAATATCTCCCTTTGTGTTCTGCAGAACAAAGACATTCATACAGGTTTGAAACTACTTGAGGGTGAGTAAATGATGACAGAATTTTCATTTTTGGGTGAACTATCCCTTTAAGGGTCATAATAGATTTAAACGATTACTTGAGATTTGAGATATCTTGAGATTTGAAGGCGCCCCCTGAAGGAGAAGAATGTGTTACATTGGAAACAGTTAAATACTGGGTGAACTCAGTAAAGCAGGACACTTAAACATGCCATTTTAGATACCAAGAGATTATTTTCTGTATTATTTTTATTATTAACAATTATTCAGCAACATATTTAACAAACCCAAAAACATATATGAGTAAAGTTCATAAGTTCACTCAATTCATGTGTTAAACTCAAAACAACTCTCAGAATATGTACTAAAATAAACTCTACAACATATTAAAAATGTGACTAGAACATGTTATAACAAGTAGGCTAAACAAAAATCTGAATAAGAGGAACGATTAATATGTAACCATATGGTAAAACATTTTTTCCCCTGTCTACATTTTCTCCAAACACTTCAAATTAACTTTAATAGCAAGTAACAATATTTAAAAGCTTTATACTCTGCATCTACATTTTCTGAAAACTTCAAAAAAAAAAAAATAATGCCTTCAATTTCATGCTTCCCCTTCAATCCTTTTTGCTCTTCTATTCTAACCTTCCATCTCCGACTTGAATTTCTTGACTGCACACTCATTTCTGTTTTCTAAAAAGTCAGTTAAGCATGTCTGTTATACAATAATCAGAAAAATGTGTTTTTTTTTAACTACCATGAATAGAATTAGTGAAGGTTCAAGGTGGCCCACTTTATCTAGCACACAGAGTGCACCAGTAATATTACTAGATGTGCATTTTAATCCATGTTTATCTGAAGTAACAAATAATACAAGTACCGTCACAATAATATTTGTTTACTTTTAGTTAATTACCAAGAAAATCTTAATGCCAAAGTGTTTACTGCGATAAGCAAGTCCTCCTTTGCAGCCACAGTTACCAGTGTCATATTGCATTGGCCAAACTGTTTTATTGTTTAAAGAAATAGTGTCCCTTTAATTAAAGGCCATTATTATGCTCTGAAAGTGAAAACAGAAGAGTAAAGAAAGACCCACTTTACCTGAATTTACCCTAATGTTTGTCCAGCAGGTGGCACAATGGTGGCTTGTCCTGAACTCATATGGCTTGATATCAGTGAAAGTGTGGCGGAGGGATCTGGCCTGACCAGCATATGCCCTTTTTTGCACACCCTTTGTTATAGCTGTGTGGGAGAAATGCATTTTGCCTATTGCTTAAGTCAAATATTAGGGTGGAAACCTGAGTCACGGAATGTAGGTTCAGTCTGACATGAGAGTAATATTTAACCAATGAACCATTGAATAAAGAAAGACAGTTAAATAACCACTAAACATCCTTCATCAAACCATGTACAGTAAACAGTTGTGGATGCAAAGAATTCAATTCAATAAAACTACACTAACAAGACAAGACATTTTTTAATTAATAGTTTTTAAAATTATTATTAACATTTCTCTGTTAACTTTAGTTAAGGTGTTTTTTTTTTCACCATTTGTTTTTGTTTTTGTTTACACACACACACACACACACACACACACACACACACACACACACACACACACATACATAGTTGTTTAAGTACATCAAGTTAAACTAAATGAAAATGCAGTTACACTTTATTTAATGTGTCCTTGTTACAGTGAAATTGTACATTTAAGTACTAATATTACATTTACATTTAGTCATTTAGCAGACGCTTTTATCCAGAGCGACTTACAAATGACACACACACACACACACACACACACACACACAAAGTAAAACAAGTAGATAGAATAGATAAAATAGAAAGCTAGTGGGTTTTTTTGTTGTTGTTTTTTTTAAATAAAAAAATAAGATAAATATAGATAAAGTAGAATTAAAATAGAATAGAAAGTGCTAGAGTTAGAGGGTCAAATAAAGGTGGAACAGATGTGTTTTTAGTCGTTTCTTGAAGATGGCTAAGGACTCATCTGAAAACACTTCATCACATTAATAAGCTACATGTACTTACTATATGGTTAGGGTTAGGATTAGGTTTTGTCTTAGGGTTACTTGCATGTAATTATGTATCGTTTATTGTTATTATAATAGTGAGTACATGTAACATGTGACAAGGACACCTTAAAATAAAGCTTTACCAAATTGGCGGCTAGCTGAAATAAAGAAAGGTGAAGGTTTTTATATCAATTAAAAAAAATAAATAAAAATAAGTGTTTTTAATGTTTATTTGAAATAGCTTATTGATTTATTTCAAATTTGTTTATTTAATTTTAGTTAACTACAGTAACCCTCATACACAAATTTTCAGTAAAAACTCGTAATCATGTCTCCCCACCAGATTTTTATGAAGCCGGAAATGTGATCATAAGGAGGTCATAAAAAGCCCCGAAAAGCAGTTTCTCATTGTTGGCCGTATGTTTCCAATGCAACACATCCTGTGCAGTGAGGTAACCCATGTCCCTCTGGTGAGGGTGCAGCAGACCATTGTCAGTCACATTAACCCTGGTTAAACACAGCCAACATACAGCGTTTTGACGCAAACACATTTCACAGCAGTGCAGTGCGTGCAGGTCAAACAGAATCGCTTTGACAGCAGTCCACGGGTCTCACTGAAGAACAATGAGAAAGCGGATAGAGTAAAACAAAGGAGTTAGTATGATTCATCATCTGTTACTAACTTTAGGTTCATAAAGCCATGCCTCCATCCACGACTGATTGACAGCAGACACTCTGTCTCTGGATAAAAGCTGTGCAAATAAAGGATCAGCTTCATTTACCATCAGTACCTCTCTAGAGACTATTACAGAAGCTCTTGTAGCCAGAGGAATATCATTCAGTGAATTTAATTCCCATTTCTCTTTCTTCAGGATGAGGCACATTAGATTACATTATACTGGGGCTGCATTCTTCTTCTTGCTGTTCTCTGCAACAGGTAAGTTATGACTTTTGCATTTAATCAAACATCCTGAGGATTTCACTATAGAAATAACAAACTGAGTTCACATGAACAAACTGTTTTGATAACTCACGCTCTATTTATTTGTTATTTCATTCAGTAACTCATAATCGTGTAGTTTGTAGAACTGCATATTAGTTTATTACTTGAAACATTCACATCTGTTCTTTTTTGTAAATGGTAAAGTAGGCTATGTGCTTTATTAATGAAAAATCTGTGTTTGTAACAGGTCGTACTTGGACAAATAAATTAATCAAGAACTCAAATCAAGAGAAATGTGCTAAAATGGCAACACTTTACAACAGGGGGCCATTTGTTAACATTAGTTAACTACAGTAGTTAACATAAACTAACAATAAAAAAACTTCTTAAGCATTTATTAATCTTAATGTTGATTCCAACATTTATGGTCCATTATCAATTAATGTTAGTTAATTGTCCTGAGCTAACATGACTAACTATGAACAGTTGCATCTTTATTGACTAACGTTAACAAAGATTAATAAATACTGTAACAAATGTATTTTGTAACAAATTCACTGTAACAAATAAATTGTTAGTTAATGTTAATGCATTAAATATAGTTAATCAATGGAACTTTAAAGCGTTTTGTGTGCTAGCAAAGTTGGAAAATCAATAATGTTTGTATCATAAAATAACATAAAACAGCTTTCAGTTTTTGTATGAAAAAGATAAAATTATATAACATTATATGCTATTTGCATTTACAAAATGTCTGATATCAATACATTTGAAATACATTTATAAATCAATAAATACATACAATTCAGCTTTATACTGTAGGTACTGGTTTTGTATCAAATTTGAAACTAGTGTCAGTAGTCTTGAATAGTTACACTTATTTTTGATTAAACCAAATTGAATTTAGATGTCAAAGGTCATGATCTGACATTGACATGAGCTGAATTATGGGGAAAATGTCCAAAAAATGTCCCCACAATGTCAAAATGTACTATCCTTGTGGGGACATTGGTCCCTGTAATGTAGGGAATGCCAGGACGCACACACACACACACACACACACACACACACACACATGGCAATGAATAATCATTTAATGTTTCTAGGTGCTGAGCCCTACAGTCTTTTAAAAATTCTGGAGGGCCTCCAGGCAGAGCCACAGAACTACCCTTCACCCCTGTACTCATTCTCCCTCTGCATGGAGATCAACAACCGCGTCTTCAGCGACGCTCTCCTCAGCTCTACCTCACAGCAGTACAAGTGCATGTATGCTGAGGTTGCTGGAGTTGTAAGTGTTTCCCGTGATTTATGAATGAATAAATGTCAGTGCCAGTTGTATTGACTTGAGCAGCCATTTTATACATAATACCAGCAACAACATATTCAGTACATGTAAGTTGTTGACCCTAAGAGAGATCCTGTGAACATGATCTTGTTTCATTTTCGCAGCTGGACATCGCCTTTAACTGCTCTGACTGTGACACAAGAGAGACCTATAGAGGAGTGACAAACATACAGTTCAGGTAAATCTCATCTCATTCTTTTGCTGAAGGTGTGTTAGTCCCAAATGACTGTGGAAAATAAATGAGTAACAATACATTGTGATATAATGTTAATAATGTTAAGATAATATAATGTTAAAGTTCACTTTCATGACTGTTTCTTAACACACTTAAGTAGACTTTTTGTTTTTAAAAAGTACACTTTGTAATACAAATTAAAATGTTACTTTAAAGAACATTTAAAAACCATTATGTTTTAATAATCTTTTGGTGCACTTGTTGACTAACATACTAAAGCACATGTAAAGTACTTGATTAAAATGTTAACTATAGTGTGTTGTTTGATATAAAATTTAAGTGAATATATTTTATATATATGTAGCTACTAAATTGTAGCGTCATCATTACAAATGTGTAATTATTACAAATATATTTTTAAATGCATGACCTACAGGTTTTTAATAGAAACTATTTTAAAGTATTACCAAAGTTTATTTTACTTTAAAGCCTTGTCATAATTCAGCAATACACTTTAATCTTTATCTCAAAGGCAAAATAAATAATTTTATATAAGGATATACTTTAAGCCCTATTTAAGTTGGTCAAAAAAGCTCTCTAAATATAAACTATAACACATTTTCATTTAAGTGTCAGAAAACATTAAATTCACTCCAAAAATATATTCCTTTAAACTAGATTATTTCTGTAACAAGCACTTTTATTAAAAGCATGGTTAAAGGGTTAGTTCACCCAAAAATGAAAATTAGGCTGCGTTTTACTCACCCCTGAGACATCCCTAGGTGTACATGACTTTCTTCTTTCAGACGAATCCAGTCAGAGTTATATTAAAAATGGTCTTTGATCTTTCAAGCTGTTTAATGGCACTCAGCGGGTGTTGCACTGCTTCAGTTCAAAAGAAGTTAAATAAAAAGCGCCCATCCATAAAAAAAGTGTCTCACACGGCTCCGGGGGGGTGAACAAAGGTCTTCTTTAGCGAATCAATGCGTTTTTGTAAGAAAAATATACATATTCAAAACGTAATAATCACTTTAATGTAGCTTGCGCCAGCAGTTGTACACAGAAGCAGTTCCGGGCGGATGACGTATGAGGTCAGCGTTGTGCATGCGCCGGTGAGTCTAGAGAAAACCAACATTTGTTTAAGATACACCTAGGATGCCTCAGGGGTGAATAAAACGCAGCCTAATTTTCATTTGTGGTTGAACTAACCCTTTAAGTGTACTTAAGTGTTACTGCATTAAATATTGCAATCAATCAAAATGTTGTTTCTCATTTGATTACAGTAACGGGTCTGTGGTCGCAAATTGTACCCTCCAGTTCCAGACCATTTTTATCAACCATGTTGTGATCAAGCATTTGTTCCTGAGGGCCATAGATAATAACACTCAAGTGAACGGTCTTGCAGTCAACAGACAGTACACAGCTGGTGCGTATTCATCATCAGACCCATGCAGAATGTATGAATTTGCTCCCATTAGATTCATCGATGTAAATTTAAATTATTTTGGCCACACCAACATTCAACAAACACAGGTACAACATGGGGAATTTCATTAGTCCAACACGTTTATGTTTATATCTTGTAAGTCTGCTTCATGGTGTATGAAAACCTAATTTTCTAACATAAATGAATTCTAAAATGTATATATTTTTCATGCAGAAACAGTCACACCTGCCTGGCTTTTTCCAAAGTCAACAACTTTTGCAGAATCTAGTGCTGAGGGTCTTCCTGGTTGGGCCATTGCATTGGTAGTGCTGGCATGCATCATCATACTGCTTCTCTTCATCATCTTACTACTGGTAAATACTTTACATTTACAATTTACAAACTCACAAATTAACAGGACAAATGGTCAACACTACAATGTTGTGATGTTATCTAATCTCATTTCGGTCTCTCCAGATATGCTTTTGGTGCTGTAGGAGAAAAGAAAAAAAGGAAGAAACCCAAACCGTTGCTCCGTATGAGAGAACGTCTTTCAAAGAACATCTTGCCAATCCCACATATATGTCACACACACCTGAGAGGAGCCCCAACTACCGGAGCTTGGTAAGAACAACTTCATTTTATATGACTGTGATATAAAGTAAACTAAGTCAGCTTTTTTGTTATATTACCTTGGCATTACAATTCAGAAAAATATTTAAAGAAGTTCACTAAAAAAATGAACATTAGCTGAAAATGTATTCACCCTCTGGCCATCCAAGATGTAGATTAGTGTGTTTCTTCATGGGAACAGATTTGGAGTAATTTAGCATTACATCACTAGTTCACCAAAGGATGCTCTGCAGTGAATGGGTGCCGTCAGAATGAGAGTCCAAACAGCTGATAAAAATATCGCAATAATCCACAAGTAATCCACTCCAGTCCATCAATTAACATCTAGTGAAGTGAAAAACTGCATGTTTATAAGAAACAAATCCATCATTAAGATATTTTTATCTTCAAACTGTTTCTGAAATATGAGTCCTCTATCCATAATACTGCTTTCTCAAGTGAAATAGTTATTTCATCTAAACCAGGAGAGAAATATGCACAGATCAAGCACTGTTTACAAGTGAAAACAGTTCAAAACAAATATGCGGGTGGATATAGATGTGAGAGGACAAAA